AAACTATTCCAAACTTAACACGACACACGAATCCTCCTCCTTTACACACACATCAAACAAATCCCTTATCCCCCCTCCGGCGATGGCAGCGGGAGGCACTTCTGCAGATGCTTTTGACTGGGCTGAAAAAGCTCCCCACACCTGCCGGACACCCGTGTATCAGGAGAGGACACCGGGCTCGGCCTCATGCTCTTTCTGCAGATACTGAGAGAATCATTCCTGGCTTTTCTAACTTTGCCTGTTAATATGGAAATGGCACTACTGATTGTTCCGGCTTTTCCAATTTCGTCAGTTAATATAGAAATTACATTTGAAAAAACTTTGGCCAGGCAGAAAGGCTCACGCCTGTAAACCCAGCACTCTGGGAGGCCGAGGTGGGAGGATCACTTGAGGCCAGGAGTTTGAGATCAGCCTGGCCAACATGGTGAAATCTCATCTCTACTGAAAATACAGAAGTTAGCCAGGCCAGTGGTGGGTGCCTGTAATTCCAGCTACTTAGGAGGCTGAGGCAAAAGAATCACTTGAGCCTGGGAGGTCAAGGCTTCAGTGAGCTGAGGTTGTGTCACTACACTCCAGCCTGGGTGACAGACTGAGATCCCAACTCAAAAAAAAAAAAAAAAAAAAAAAAAATTAAGACAATCTGTATTTTTTGGACAAACCCCATGTGATCACAATCGTTTTTACAGAATAGTTTTGATTTTTTTATTTTTAACGAACTAAAAAGTTTAAATTTTTGTTTGTTTTTTTTAAGGCTGGGTATGGTGGCTCATACCTGTAATCCTAGCACTTTGGGAGGCCAAGGCGGGTGAATTACTTAAGGTCAGGAGTTTGAGGCCAGGCTGGCCAACATAGTGAAACCCTATCTCTACTAAAAATAGAAAAATTAACCAGGTCTGTACCCACCTACTTGGGTACAGTGCATGCCTGTACTCCCACCTACTTGGGAGGCTGAGGCAGGAGAGTTGCTTAAACCTAGGAGGCTGAGGCTGCAGTGAGCTGAGATGGTGCCATTGCACTCCAGCCTGTGAGTTCAAGATGGAAGGTGCCAGGAGGCATCCCACGTCGGCAGCACAGGAGCCTGGAGGTTGCCCCTCAAAGGCTGGCATGGGGGGTCTGAAGATGCCCCAAACCCCGATCCCTCCACAGGAGGCGATCCCAGGTTGGGCCTGCGGAGGGAGTTCCACCTTGAGGCACCACATTGGCTGCCACTCCCCTCCACCGCCTGGGAAGCTGACGGGGCGGGGGGGCCTCAAACCTGCTACACCGTGGGCCAGGGTACCAAGTTCATGGCAGGCTCAGCTACCACACACACAGGCACAGTGCAGAGCCCGGCCGGACTCACTCTCTTCCCAACCATCAAGCCTCTTACGGGTGCGCTCCACCGGCCTCGTCCTCAACCCCTTCACCATCCCCTCTCACTGAGGGCTGTAAGTGCCCTAGCCAAACTGACCCCATCCCTGCCCCACAACTGTCCACAAAGCCAGGCCACACCCTCCTCAGCCTCCAGGGTCCCAGAACCCGTCTCGTTACCTTCAAGCCCTCCAGCACGGGGGCTGTGTCCTTCAGGGTCTCTGACTGCAGGACTGTGTCGGGCACTTCTGGCTGTGGCTCGGCCCCTGCCCTTTGGGGAGCAGCTTCCACACCTTTGAGCTCAATATCCTTCTGAAAGGCAAGGTGACATCAGCCCGGTACCCTCTGTCGCACAGAAGCAGCCTTTCTGGCTACCTGACGCTCAGCACAAATGGCAGAGGCCACCCTGGAAGCAGGCTACAGGTGACAACGGGTAGTATACCTGCCGCAGGATGTCCCTAGGGAGGTCCCATACAGCTGCCAGGTCAGCTGAGGCCCTCTCAGGAGTGGGCCAGAGCACCTTGCCTGTCTCTGGTCTCCCCATGACTCCACCAAGCTGCCCTGTCACTTGCAGAGCAGGAGGCTAAGCCTGTGGGTGGGTACCATGCATGGGACCCAAAGGACCACAGGGCCCACATTGAAGAGGGGCCCAGAGCCTGGGGGAGCCTGAGGCTGCTCTGCCAGCGCCCCTCACAGCAAGTACCTCAGGAGAAAGCAGGCACTGCCGTGTGCTGAGCCAGCTCCTCTGAGACGGCGAAGCTACCTCTCCTGTGAGCACCACTGTGGCCATCAGGCAGTTCCCACGTCAGAGTTGCAGCCCCCACACCCAGGGACCCTATCTCCCTGACCACTCCAAGAGGAAATAAATCTGCAGGACGGAACGGCAGGGCCAAGCCTGTGGGCACGTGGGGGTTTCTAAGGAGGCTGGGTTGGGACAGCCTCACGCCCCGCGGAGCAGGGCCGCACTCACCGCTGCCTCCGAGCGCCTCTGCAGCTCCTTCTCCAGGTGCTCCTGCTGGATGGCTGCCTCCTCCTGCAGAGTGGCCTCCAGCTTGGCCTTGTTGTCCACCTGCTCGCCCTCCACCTCGGCTGCTTTCACCTGTGCTTCCTTTGCCTTCAGAAGGGGGTGCACCTGTGGGTGAGCCCCGGAAGCCCCCAGAGGCCCCTGCTGCCCCTAACCTCTGCCCTCTGCCCCATATCCCTGAGCGCTGTCACCACCTGGGCATCACACACAAGGGACAGGCACTGCAGCGGTGCTGCCCGCAATTGCTGGGAAGCCCCTGGACTGCTCTCTGTGGTCACCTGATGACTCCTGACGTACAGGGAAGGAGCACAGGCGCTACTGGCGCAGCTCCGCAGGCCAAGGCAGAGACCCAGGGCAGCCAGCACGTGGCCAGGTCGGGATCACGTGCAGGAGACGGCAGGTGTGGGGCCGGGGAGAGGGACAGAAGGGAGGGGACAGGAGGCCGGGTGGGGGCACTAGTGAGGGGGTGGGAGGGAGGCTGGGTGGATGGGGGCCTCTCTGCCCATGGTTGAGCAATGAGTGCTCTTGCACGCCTCCCTCTACCCTGGAAGAGAGGGGCCACCTACAAAGAGATGAAGTAAAAGGGGTCTCCAACAGCACGCACCACAATCTCCGGGAGGGTCTGCAGTGTGGACTTGAGCTGGTCGGCTGGCGAGAGGGTGTCCGGGAGGTACATGGCCCGGGACAGGATGAGCAGAGACGTGGGGATCTCCTGATGCAGGTGCAGGTCCAGCCACTGCAGCCAAGGCCAGATTCAGTAAACAGGCAGCACCAACCCTGCCGCTACCACAGCAGGCCCACCCCTCCTCACTAGGACAGCCTCAGAGAAGACGGTGTCTCAAGTCCTAAAAGGTCTACTTGTCGCTCTGCTGTGTGACCCACTGATGTCACGTTAGTAAACCCAACACCGAAGAGGCTCAGGGGGTCCGCAGCCCCCACAGAGAGGCCCCCAAGGGCCTCAGAAAAGGGCACCAACTCTCCACTTAAACACACTCCAGGTTACTTTGGGAGGCTGAGGCAGGTGGATCATGAGGTCAGGAGTTCAAGACCAGTCTGGCCAAATGGTGAAACCCCGTCTCTACTAAAAACACAAAAAAATTAGCCGGGCATGGCAGTGCTGGTGTGCGCCTGTAGTCCCAGCTACTTGGGAGGCTGAGGCACAAAAACTGCTTGAACCCAGAAGGTGGAGGTTATATCAAGTGGAAGTCGCACCACTGCACTCCAGCCTGGGTGACAGGGCAAGACTCTGTCTCAAACAAACAAAACCAGCCGACGTCAACATAAAGCAGGCCCACAGAGGCAGCATCATTGAGGCCGGTTAGCACTTGGGTGCCCACAGGCTCCGCACAGGTCAGGTTCCAGGGCTGGCTGCCTGAGTGACACTAAGACAATCTTCAAATGGGCAAGAAAGACTGTAACAGTGGTTGGAGACAAAGTGAACACAGGGCAAAACATGAGAGCAAACCCTAAGAGAAAGCTGAGGAGAAGTGGGTAGAGAAGGAAAGTGTGTGCACACACAATACGCAGGCCCCCAACGAGCTAGACTCCCGTGGGGGCCGAGGGGCCTGGGTAGGGATGGCACCTGCCCCCCTGCTCAGACACCCCTGTGTGCGGCCCATGTCCCCATTGAGCTCCAGAAGGCTGAGCAGAGTGCCAGGGAGGTCAGCACCCAGCCAGACACAGAGAAGGTTCTGCGGGGGAATCAGATGGAAGACACAGCTGTGGAAGGCAAGGGGTAAGAGTGGGCGGTGCACCTGCCACAGGATCACGCCATCGACACTGGCTGCATCAAGAGTGGAAGAGTGTTCACACATCTTCATCTACACTTGCAGGTTGTGTGAAAGCCCGACAGGAGGATGACCGCCAACAGGGGCACACCACTGCCAGGGCAGCCGGGAGGAAACTGGCTGGAGCCCCACGCCCCTTACCCTTTCCATGTTAGGGTGAGCGGCCGGGGCTGTCACTTCCCGACGTACCAGCCACTCGATGTGATGGCAGTGGGAACCAGGCACCTGCTCAGGGCGTGGCCAAGAGAAGGGCTGGCTCCAGAAGTCAGAGCGGTCATGCCACCCAAACCTTCCATGGCCCCAGTTTAGAGAGTCAAAATGTGAACACATCCGACATCTCCGAGGTGAACTCCAGTCCTCTGACTACAGATAACCAACACGGTAAGTTATCAAGGTCTTTAAAATCAACTAAAAGCAGACAAGAAAAATCAAAGCAACATTCAAAAGGCAACAAAACGAGAGAACACGGGGTGCATGTGAGTGTGTTAAGACCAGGAGGGCGAGAGACAGCCCAAACTTCCCAGCCGTCCCCAGAGAGGTCACAGTGTCACCTTGCCAGGCCTGCCCAGAGTTTGAGAAGAGCCTCCAGGTGGCCTTTGGAGGCTGAAGTTTCCCTTGAGCCCATGCTGGTCTGGCAGAAAGTAAGCACTCACGCACCTGCTTCAGCTGGCCCCGAAGGCGGTCTTCCGTGACGCCCAGGGCCCGCATGCCTCGTGCCCGACACGCCGCCTGCAGCTCCTTGACATTCAGGGTGTCCACCCCTTCCTCAGCAATCAGCTAGAAAACAAAGCAGTGAATTCTCATCTGGGACAGTTGCTGGTGGGTCACGGTGTCTATGCGAACACCCTCCAGAGTGAATGGCTAACAAGTTTAGCTCAGTTCTAGGTCTGAAGTGACTGGAACCCTGTGACAGAGGGTCAGGCTCTTGGGGAGTGCAGAATGGCCACGACCAAGCCCATGACACAAGAAGCCCACCTCCACCCTCTGTGCTGCTGACGGCAGAACCAGCCCCACCCTGGTCCCTCCTGCCACCTGCTGTTTCTGCTGATTCCTACAGTTCACCATCTGCAAAGGGTGCCCAGTATGGACAGAGGAGGAGAGAGGGAAAAAGAGCGAAGAACCAGACACTCCAAAGATGCATCTTGACCTCATACCCCAAAAGCCCCTCTCTTTCTCTCAGCCCAAGGTCATGGTGACCCCAAATGGAAAAGCAAACAGGAGTCCCGGTACAGAGGACAGAGGCACACAGAGAGGAGCAGGTGGAGAGAGACACGGAGAAGGAATGACAGCCACTACTAGGCAGATGCCCGCTGCTACATCGTCCGCAACAGGGCTCCCACACCAGGACTCTGCAGCAGCACCCCCATTTCAGAGTCCACTCTGCCTCACAACCACCCTGTGGCGTAGGCAGTACCTCCATCTCCACTTCCAAAACTAAACTTGATGTAACTGTGCACACACATCCAGTTGTAACAAGTAACAGAGCTCCCATGCGTAAGATGTCTCTCCAGGCACGACAAGTCACCAACAGCACCACAATAAGCACACAGCACCCACCCAGTGAAGACAGAGCTGCCTTCCCCAGCTCCTGGCGCTGTCCGCTCAGACACGCTTGTCTCCGCGTCTGCAGCTGTCACCCAGAGCACGCTCTGAATGATCATGCAGGCTGTCACCTCTGGGGTTCCCTGAAAACCCATCGGGGTGCTGTGGGTCTGCCAGGTCAGGCCTCTGACTGGCACGCAGCATTCCACACAGGTGTGCCTTCCTCAGCCGAACCCTTTGCCCACTGAGCCGGGCTGCTTCCGGTTTAGCAGAAATTAAGCTGCTTTCTTCTTCCTGTCTTCCTGCGGGCTGGCTGACCTCCATTTGATCTTGCTCTTGTGGTCTGGGGTCTCTGTGCAGCGTTTTCAGTTGCTCTGGGGATCACAATATATAATTCACGGACACAGCTCACCGTAGTGCAGTGGGGCCGGCGCTCCCCCGACGGAGGCAAGAGCTGAAGCTTCCTCTCCATCTGTCCTGAGTCTCTGCTGTCACCTCCACCCGCACCGTGGAACACGTCCCTCGGCCTGCTCTCTGCAGAAGGCGCAGGGAGAGCACAGCCCACCGAGCCGACCCTCACTCTGCTTGCTGGGAGCTCTTCCTGCTGTGCAGAGGTGCTTTAGCTTACTGTTTCCTTTCTGGTTGGAGAGCTTCCTTGAGGGGCGGTCTGCTGGTGACAGTCTTAGCTTCCCTCTCTCTGATACTGCCTTGGCTCCCCCTCATTGCTATATTTTTGCTGGTTATAGATCCTGGGTTGACAGTTCTTTTAACACTTGAAACACAACGCTTCACTTCCTTTGATCTCCACAGTTCTGATGAGAAACCCACTGTCGTTCCAATTTTCCCCTAATGGTAAAGATGTGGTTCTTGGCCGGGAACAGTGGCTCACGTCTGTAATCCCAACATTCTAGGAGGCCAAGGTAGGAGAATCACTTGAGCCCAGGAGTTTGAGACCAGCTTGGCCAGCGTAACAGTAAGACCTCATCTCTACAAGAAAAATAAACAAAACTCGGCGGATGTGGCAGCGCACGCCTGTGGTCCTAGCTATTTGGGGGGCAGAGGTGGGAGGATGGCTTGGGCTGGGGAGGTCAAGGGTACAGTGAGTTGAGATTATGCCACTAGACTGCACTCCAGCCTGGGCAACAGAACAAGACCCCATCTTCCACCATCCCCACCAAAAAAAGACCTGGGATTCATAAATGAAACAACTCCCACCACACACACACAACCACACAAAACCATACACACGCCGGGCGAGGTGGCTCAAGCCTGTAATCCCAGCACTTTGGGAGGCTGAGGCGGGTGGATCACGAGGTCGAGAGATCAAGACCATCCTGGTCAACATGGTGAAACCCCGTCTCTACTAAAAGTGCAAAAAATTAGCTGGGCATGGTGGCACGTGCCTGTAATCCCAGCTACTCAGGAGGCTGAGGCAGGAGAATTGCCTGACCCCAGGAGGCGGAGGTTGCGGTGAGCCGGGATCACGCCATTGCACTCCAGCCTGGGTAACAAGAGCGAAACTCCGTCTCAAAAAAAAAAAAAAAACCCATACACACACACAACCTCCCAAAACAACACAAAACCACACACACGATGCATTTCTCTCACTGCCTTAAAAACTATTTGTCACTGGGTGCGGTGGCTCATGCCTATAATCCCAGCACTTCAAGAGGCCGGGGTCAGGTGTTAGAGACAAGCCCGGCCAACAGGGTAAAACCCCATCTCTACTAAAAGCCAGGTGTGGTGGCAGGCACCTGTAGTCCCAGATACTCAGGAGGCTGAAGCAGGAGAACCACTTGAACCTGGGAGGTGGAGGTTCCAGTGAGCTGAGATGGTGCCACTGCACTCCAGCCTGGGCAACAGAGCAAGACTCCACCAAAAAAAAACTATTTGTCTTCAGGGTTCATTACTTTGACACTGATGTGTCTTGGGGTAAATTTATTTGGATTTATCCTATTCAGGGTTCACTCAGCTTCTGAAATCTGCAGTTTCACATCTTTAACTGAGCCTGGGAAGTTTTCAGCCAGCCATTATTTCTTCAGGTACTTTTTCAGCCCTGCTTCTATCCTTTCTCCCACGGAATATCGGGTATCACAGATGGTTGACGCTTGCTACGGCTCTGTTCAATGTTTTTTTTTTTTTGAGACGGAGTTTTGCTCGTTACCCAGGCTGGAGTGCAATGGCGCGATCTCGGCTCACTGCAACCTCCGCCTCCTGGGTTCGGGCAATTCTCCTGCCTCAGCCTCCTGAGTAGCTGCGATTACAGGCACACGCCACCATGCCCAGCTAATTTTTTGTATTTTTAGTAGAGACGGGATTTCACCATGTTGACCAGGATGGTCTCGATCTCTTGACCTCCTGATCCACCCGCCTCGGCCTCCCAAAGTGGTGGGATTACAGGCGTGAGCCCCCGCGCCCGGCCCCAATGTTTTCTACTATTTTCCCCTAATGGTAAAGATGCCGTTTTGCTCCAGTGGTCTGTTGTCCAAATGGGTAAGATAAACTCATTTTATCTTAGTTTACTGGTTCTTCCACCTTCTCCATTCTGCTGTTGAGCCCACTCAGGTTTTCATTTTGGTTATTGTACTTTTCAGTTCTAAGTTTTCATTTGGTTCTTTTAAAAACTTTTGTTGGTATTATTAATATTATTATTTTAAGAGACGAGAGTCTCCCTCTGCTGTCCAGGCTGGAGTGCAGTGACACGATCATGGCTTACTGCCTCGTCAGCCTCCCAAGCTCAAGCAAACCTCCCGCCTCAGCCTCCTGAGTAGATGGAGTCATCACGCCCAGCTATTTTTTTTATTATTTTGGTAGAGGAGGGGTCTCACTATGTTGCCCAGGCAGGTCTCAAACTCCAGGGCTCAAGCAATCCTCCCTCTATGGCCTCCCAGAATGCTGGATTATAGATGAGAACCACTGTGCCCGACCTTAATATCTTCTCTTAATATTAATATTTGATAATATCTTAATATCTTTTCTTCTCTCTCTTTGCCAAGACCGATTTTTCAAGTGTTTCCCTCTGTGGCTTTTGAAGCTCTGGCTGTTTGAGGCCAGGGTGCAGAGCCTCTGACCTGTCATCTCAGGGCTGGTATCAGGTGTTGCCTTTTCTCATTCTCTGATACCTTCCTGCTTCTTGATTGTAGATCTGATTTCCAGTTTGTTGTAGCTGACCTCCTCTAGGGTATGGTGGCATGGGCAGTGGGTATTCCAATTTGCACAGAGTTTGTACAATTAATGATCTGGAATCTTTTCATCCCAGGGTGAAGCTAACAAGGCCAAGGCTGTTTCTACCACCCTGAGGTCCAGCTTTAACGAACCAACCATAAACCCTAACGTCTGTTTCCCTCCCTGCCCAGCCACGTCTCCACCTGCTGCACACAAGGCAGGCAGGAAGGCACTGTCCGCACCAGCTTCTGCTCCCCATGGGTGTGGAGGCTTCATGAAGCCGAGTGACGGGGGAGCTGTGGGTAGCACGTTTCTCTCAATGGCACTGACCTCTCAATGCTGTCACTCACTCACGTCCACAAGCTAAATCCTAGACATACTGCAGACGTGGCTGCAGCGCTGCCTCATGAGAAGCGCAGACTCCCTGCCCAGCCTCCGAAGACATCCTCGGGAGAGCGGTGCTGCTTGCTACTGCTGGGAGCGGGTGGGTGGGAGTTCCGGCCCTCACAGGTGCCTCTCCCAGCAGGAGGGCAGAAGCACCTCAGCACTGTGTCCCACTTGGCTCCCACTGGCTCCACAGTGGACATGGCCTCGTTCTACACTGGGCCCCCAAGGCCACCCCAGCGTTGGGGGAGTGCAACCGATACACTGTCAGGTGAGAGGGAAGCTCAAGCTCCCTGCCTGGTCTCTACTGACACCACAGGGGCTGGCTCCCCTCAGTCTTCTCTGACATCACCCCCACAAGGGCTGGGATGCCTGCTGTGCCCCAGCAAGGGTGGGATGCAGGCTCCTCACATGGCCTTGCCTTGATTCGTGGTAATGACCAGGCCTCGACCTGCTTACCAGAGATGCAGGCAGGCCCTTCCTGGAAGAGGCCAACACTGCCCTGAACCTCTTCCGCAGACAATGCCTGAGTTCAGGAAAAACTCAACACTACAAACAAAACCAAAAGGGAAAGCAAAAGAGAAAGACCTATGGACCACACGGTTATTAGAGTAATTGACATGAACTAGGGTTAGTGCATCCAAGAAAACAAATGACAAGACGAAAACTTTTACCTGAGAACTGAAATCTTAAATTAAGAGCTCCTAATATGAATAAAAGAGTACTCAGCCAGGCATGGTGGCTCATGCCTGTAATCCCAGCACTTTCAGAGGCCGAGGCGGCTGGACCATGAGGTCAAGAGATCAAGATCATCCTGGCCAACATGGTGAGATCCCATCTCTACTAAAAATACAAAAATTAGCTGGGCGTGGAGGCGCACACCTGTAGTCCTAGCTACTCGGGAGGCTGAGGCAGGAGAATCACTTGAACCAGGGAGTCGGAGGTTGCAGTGAGCTGAGATGGTGCCACTGCACACCAGCCTGGTGACAGAGCAAGACTCCATCTCAAAAAAAAAAAAAAAAAAGAGTAATCAGGCCAGGCGCAGTGGCTCATGCCTGTAGTCCCAACACTCTGGGAGGCCAAGGCAGGCGGATCACTTGAGGTCCAGAGTTCGAGACCAGCCTGGCCAACGTGGCAAAACCCCGTCTCTACTAAAAATACAAAAAATTAACTGGGCGTGGTGGTGTATGCCTGTAATCCCAGCTACTTGGGAAGCTGAGGCAGGAAAATGGTTTGAATCCAGGAGGCAGAGACTGCAGTGAGCCGAGATCGCTCCATTGCACTCCAGCCTGGGCAACAAGCCTGTGCAACTCTGTCTCAAAAAAACAAAAAAAGAGTAATCAGACCCAGGAGAGTAGCACCCTGAAAGCACCAAAGGGTGGGAAGCCCACAGGCGCTGGGGTGTACAGGACAGGGCAAAGGGGCAAACAGACCCTGGACGAGGCCCCGAGGGGAGGAGAGAGGCACGGAGGCGCTGTCATCAACCAGCAGGAAGACAGACACACCTGGGCATGTTACTATAACACTGACAAAATCCAGACAGAGAGATACTCCAAGAAGCTGCCAGAGAAAAGACACCCATCCTCAAAGGATCTGCGATCTGCAAGGGGCAAGGGTCGCAAGGCTCCTAGTGAGCTTATTTTCCACTGTTCAGCATCTTCCAGAGTTTCTACAGTGAGGACATGCTGCTTTTGTCGCCAGGAGAAAAAAGGTGGAAGGCCACAGCTGCGGCGTGAAGTGTGGCCGCTCACCTTGTCGTCGGCCTTGATGGAGCGCAGCCGCATGGTGAGCTGGAAGCGCAGGAAGTTGTTGGTGCCGATGGACTGCAGCTCCAGCAGCTTGCACAGTGCCACCAGCTGCGGCCGCGTCAGGTTGTCCAGGGTCAGCTCGTCCTCAAATAACTTGGAAAAACGCATGATTTCCTCGTTGCTGGGCCTCTCCCCTGTCTCCCGGATCTGCGGAAATAGTCACAAAGGTCATCCCTGGGGCATGTAGCCCACCCAGCTCCCTCCCACGACCACCCACATTCCCAAAGGGTGCTGCCTCTTAGTCCTCAGGAACCAAAACCACACTGACTTTTCTTTTTCTTTGGAGACAGGGTCTCACTCTGTCACCCAGGCTGAAGTGCAGTGGCACAATCTCAGTTCACTACAATCTCTGCCTCCTCGGTTCAAGTGATTCTCCTGCCTCAGCCTCCTCAGTAGCTGGGATTACAGGCGTGTACCACCACGCCCGGCTAATTGTTGTATTTTTAGTAGAGACGGGGTTTCACCATGTTGGCCAGACTGGTCTTGAACTCCCGACCTCAAGTGATCCGCCCACCTCAACCTCAAAATGCTGACTTCTGGCTCCAGTACCGGGCTAGCTGAGTGAGAGGCGGTGCCTGGCCCCTGGACCTCTCCTGCCTGAGCCAGCACACTCGAGGCTGCTGAGGCTGCCGTGTCTGCTGCGGGGGAGGCCGGGCCCACCAGCTGCGGCATGCAGGTCCTGTGATCCTCTCTCTGCCACAGAAGCGGCCAGGACTCTGCTGCTCTGGGATAGGAAGAGGCGCACCTGTGTGCACCTGCACCTCCCAGGGATGACCGCCTGAGCCTTGGGGGTGGGGAGACCACCTAACTCTTCAGGGCCCTTTGGGTGACCCTCTGCAGTTCCTCCCACCTGAGGGACAGGCCACCAGCTCAGTCTCCTCCAAGAGCTGGGGTAGGAGGATCCCTAGCAGAGAGGGCAGATGAGGGAGAACAAGCCCAACTTGGCGCCCAGTTCAAATTGTAACGTGCAGGACACCAGCTCCGAGACAAGGTGGCGGGCGCGCTCCTGGGGGCCACCCCCCACAACACATCCCAAAGCAGTGACTGCAAGCACATCTTTCTTGGCAGCGGGGAGGCCCAGGAGAGCTTGGGATGAGCTCCTCCTTCTGCTCTGCAAGGCACCGCATCCTGGGCGAGGCTCCCAAAGCATGACTGCCCCCAGGACCTCTTGCTGGAACCACACTCACTCCTCGGGGGGCTCAGCAGCCCCATGGCTATGACACCTCCTCCAAGAGGCTTCTCTGTGGTTAGAGCTCGGCCTAGCAGTCTTTTCTGTCAAGGGCCAGACAGCAAACATTTCTGCCTTTGCAGCCATGGAACCCACTTGCCTCTGTGCCGCATTGGAAAAACACCACAGATGATAAACACATGTGCCTGGAGTTTCTAGCCCCTGGTTTTAGCTCTTTCTGCACTTCAGACACATCTTTGTAACTCCAAAGTGGCACAAGTCCCTCAAGCCAAAGACCCCAGCCTCGTCAGTCCCATCTAGTCCTCAGGGATCTCGTGTGTGGCACCCACCCTCTCTCCCATCCTTATCTCACTGGCCACATGACCACGGGAAACCTCAAGGACCAACCCTCCTCTCCAGTCCCCACCGCTCGTGAAGTCTAGGCCTCTGCCCAGCCCCTGGGACCTGGGACCTTCCTGACTGACTCCAGCCAGAGGGCGGTGCCTGCAGAGGAGCCAGCCCAGTCACCCACACCTCACAACATCAGGGTGTCAGGCTCCTCATGGGTCAGATTCTACTGCGCCTGGACGGCTGAAGGGTGACGAGACATAGACACACGTGATTCTGAAGGCTGATGAGGCGCAGGCACCACAGCTCAACTCACTGGGCGCTCACGGGGGCCAGACTCCTGACACTTCACCAGCCCCCCGACACTTCACCAGCCCCCCACTGAGCCGCCTAGGGGAGCTCTTCTTTGCTGAGCACAGCGAAGAGGAAACAGAGAAAGCAAGGAGGGGTCCCTGGTGAGGTCACAGGGGCTCAGACACGTCGCAGCACCTTCTGGAAAAACACGGAGAAGTCTTTGGTGGCACTGCCCTTGGCCGCCTTGTTCTTCAGCGCCATCTCCTCGATGGTGTCCTGGAGGAACTTGGCCAACTCCAGCTTGACCCGAAGCTCCTTCTTCAGCCTCTCCTCCTGCAAGGGCAGAGAGCGCGCTGACCTCCAGGCCCCAGTCTCTCCTGCCGGCCCTGAGGTCCTGGGGCCTCCAAGAGGGTGGGCTCAGGAGTGTGCTCCAACTGCTCAGACTACGGTTTGGGCAAGGAAACCATCTCATGCCTGCCCCCAGCTCACCCCCAGAAACATTTCACAAAACACTGACTCTCATCTAAGTGCAATAAATTCTCAAACTCTTATATTTCATGGTTTAAAAAAAAATCCATGGGAAGCTAAGGGGGGAGCGGATCACCTGAGGTCGGAAGTTCAAGACCAGCCTGACCAACCTGGAGAAACCCCGTCACTACTGAAAATACAAAAATAAGCCGGGTGTGGTGGCACAAGCCTGTAATCCCAGCTACTTAGGAGGCTGAGGCAGGAGAATCACTTGGACCCGGGAGGTGAAGGTTGCAGTGAGCTGAGATTGTGCCATTGCACTTTAGCCTGGGCAACAAGAGTGAATCTCCACCTCAAAAAAAAAAAACAAAACAACAAAAAAAAGAAAAACAAAAAAACTCGTGTGGGCCAGGCATGGTGGCTCATGCCTACGATCCCAGATCTTTGGGAGGCAGAGGCGGGTGGATCACCTGAGGTCAAGAGTTTTTAAGACCGGCCTGGACAACATGGCAAAACCCCATCTCTGCTAAAACACAAAATTTAGCCAGGCATGCACACGTGTAATCCCAGCTACTTGGGAGGCTGAGGCAGAATCGCTTGAACCCGGGAGGTGGAAGTTGCAGTGAGCCAAGATCACACCACTGCACTCCAGCCTGGGGGACAGAGCGAAATTCCGTCTCAAAAAATAAACAAAACCCATGATCATACTTTCCTTAAAGGTCTGGACAGGAAAGCGTTTGGCCTTCATGGGCTGTATAATCTAAAACAACTGCTTACCTCTGCTGGTGCCTCACAGAAGCCATCACAGACCAGACAGGTGACTCGGCATCACAGGTCCCCACAGGACTCTACCAAGAACAACAGGCCGGGTCCAGATCTAGCCTGTTGGTTGTAGCTGGCTGACCCTGGCCTGGAAGGACCTCCCAACTTCCCTACAGCATGAAGAACACTGGTCTAGAAAAGCTGTATTTAAAACACACTTAGCTGGAAGCAGTGGCTCCACGCATAGTAATGCCGCTTTAGGAGGTCATGGAAAGAGGATTACTTGAGCCTAGGAGTTTGAGACCAGCCTGGGCAACATGGCCAACTCTATGTAGCCGACCCTGTCTATAAAAAACAAAAAACAGGCCGGGCGTGGTGGCTCATGCCTGTAATCCCAGCACTTTGGGAGGCCGAGGCAGGTGGATCAAGAGGTCAAGAGATTGAGACCATCCTGGTCAACATGGTGAAACCCCGTCTCTACTAAAAATGCAAAAAATTAGCTGGGCATGGTGGCGTGTGCCTGTAATCCCAGCTACTCAGGAGGCTGAGGCAGAAGAATTGCTTGAACCCAGGAGGCAGAGGTTGCGGTGAGCCGAGATCGCACCACTGCACTCCAGCCTGGGTAACAAGAGCGAAACTCCGTCTCAAAAAAAACAAAAAACATCAGTCGGGCATGGTGGCTCAGCCTGTAGTCCCAGCTATTTGGGAGCTGAGACAAGAGGATCACTTGAATCCAGGAACTTGAGGCCACAGCAAGCCGTGATCATGCCATTGCACTCCAGCCTGAGTGACAGGATGAGACCCTGTCTCAAAAAATTAGCTGGGTGTGGTAGCACACACCTGTAATCCCAGCTACTTGGGAAGCTGAGGCAAGAGAATCATTTGGACCTTGGAGGCAGAGGTTGCAGTGAGCCGAGATCACACAACTGCACTCCAGCCTGGGTGACAGAGCGACTCTGTCTCAAAAATAAATAAAGAGAAACAAATCCAAAACCAGAATCCATGAAATAATTATCACACAGGACGATATGAAGATACATAAAGCCTTAAAAATATCTAGCACCTGAAATAGTCACAAACAAGGCAGCTATCACAATGAATTTCTGACTCATTCTACAAAAGCAACTGGGCTGCTGCCCTTACCTTGATGGACTGGGTCTCAAATGTGGAGGGCAACATGTTGGGGAAGAGCTTCACGGCCACAGGCAGCAGGAACTCCATGAAGGGCACCACCACAAACACGAGAAACGGCACCAGGCGGAAGAGGTCAGCGCAGATCCGGAGAAACTGAAGAGGGGCGGGAATCCATTAGAAGGGGACACAGCACATGTGGAAATAGGAGCCAGGGGTGTGAGCATTTCTACTATAATCGATTACAGGCACGACCTCAGGCAGTGACTCACAGGACCTACTGAGGACTCCAAGTTCCAGAACCCCTCAGTAGACCACTCCCAAACCCACTTCTTTCTCAGGGTCCGAAGCAGGTACCAGCAGCCTCCAGAAAAGCAGGGTGTGGTGCTGACACCAAGCGCCACTGGGTGCTCCTGGCAATCTGGTCCTCCAAGGCCACCAGCCGGCACCCTGGGCTCAGGGCCCAGCAAGTGAGAGCTGTGGGCTGAGGACTGGGCATTACTAGCGTGCTGGGGGTCACCAGGAAGAGCTGAGCCACACCTGCTTCTGGAGGGCACTTTAGAAGGAGGGCTTCTCTTGTGTTCCCTAAAACTACACTACAAAGCAATCGTTAGGAAAAAACCCAAGTGTTTCCTGACAAAAACACTTTAATGATGCCATTAAAGAAACATCCAATTTGAAATAACCAGAAATCCCTGTGAAGCCTGAACAACTGGTGGAAAACAGCGAGGCTGATACTGCCCCTCCTCAGAGCTGCTCACTGAGGTCCCCTGGCCAAGGGACCGTGTAGTTCCTGTTTCCACTGGCTACAAGTGAGCGGTCCCAGGGAGACACCCTGAGAGCAGACGGCCTCCTCCTCCTTACCTCTCTCGCCTCCTCGAGCTCATGGAGCCAGCCTCCACTCTCATGGGCACACAACAGGGGCTGCTCACTTTCCCATCTGTCATCTGTAGGAGGGGAGAACCCTGCCTTCCTGTACATTCATTTTTTCTTTATTATCACACTGGACCCACGGACTCCTGTACTTTTTCACCGACTTAAAATTTATGGCTGTCTTTATTTCCAAATGGTGCCATATCTTTAAAGCTGGGACATGTGTTTTTTGATATGCCCCATTAATTTTTGTAGTAGTTCTACTGAGGTCTAATTTACAAAGCATAACATTCACCTATTTTAAATTAATTTGATGATTTTTGGTAAATTTACACATTGTGAAACCACCACTACAATCCAAATTTACAACTTTTTGTTTGAGATGGCATCTAGCTCTGTCACCCAGGCTGGAGTGCAGTGATATCATCTCAGTTCACTATATCTCCACCTCCCTGGTTCAAGCGATTCTCTTGCCGAAGCCTCCTGAGTACCTGGGATTATAGACATGTGCCATCACGCCCAGCTAATTTTTTAATATTTTTGGTAGAGACGGGGTTTCATCATGTTGGCCAGGATTGTCTCAAACTCCAGACCTCAGGTGATCTGTGGCCCTCCCAAAGTGAGCCACTGCACCTGGCCAAGAAAATAACTTCTTAAAATGTTTGTAAACACGAAAGCAGAACTACAAATCCCATCCTTTTAGAGCACATTTCAGCCCATAGGATCATCTTTCGAAAGGAGAACTGTGCCCTAACCCATGGCTGCCTGCAGTGGCTCACGCCTCTAATTCCAGCACTTTGGGAGGCCCAGGCAGTAGGACTGCTTGAGGCCAGGAGTCTGAGACCAGCCTTGGCAGCATAGTGAGACCCCCGTCTCTACAAAAAAATTTTAAAATGAGCCTGGTGTGGCAGTGTGCATCTGCGGTCACAGCTACATGGGGCGCTGTGGTGGGAGGATCACTTATGCCCTCGAGGGCTGAGGCTTCAGTCAGCTGTACAAGTGCCACTGCACTCCAGCCTGGGTGGGAGAGCGAGACCCTGTCTCAAAAATCAAAATAAGTAAGTAAACAGCAGAGCCCACAAAAATGTCATATAAATCCCCAAGACCTAGAAACCACGAGGTGTTCTTGGGAGGAAAGGATGGAGCAGACAGATGAGGCTGTGCTGGGAGGGTGGCCTCGATTCCCACGCAGCCCGTACCCTCTGCGGCCCGCGGCGTGCCCCGGCACTCACAGAGGCAAACAGTATCTGTGCAGAAGAAACTAGCTCACCACCTACTCCACGTGAGGTTTACCCCTCTGAAGTGGATTCCACCTCTCTTAAATTAAAAAGAAATTAATTGAAAAACTAATTGAGCTTCTAGAGGTAAAAATGTGGGGACTGAAAATAAAACCTCCGTGGCTGCATTAAGCAGATTACTTCAGCTGAAAAGAGAGTGAAGAAAACAAAAAGAACACATCTAGATTGCAGCCCCGAGACAAAGGCAGAAAACGAAGCCTCTTCCGAACCGTGAAGGACAGCAGGAGCTGGTGCAGCAGAGGCCAGGCCAGGAGCTCCCGAGAGCCTGGGCACTGGTGAGTGAGCAGGTTCTGTGACAGGCGACAGATGTGGAACCCTGGGGTCAGGAGCATGGATCCCAATAAAAACAAACTCACCCAGAGGGACACAGGCAGCCCTCCAGACAGACCTGGATGCAGTAAGACAGAGAAAGTTCTACACCTGCCCCAGAGATGCCACTGTGCAGATGCAGACCCTCACAGGAAATAGCGGGGCCGGTGAAGGGCATGGAGAGCATCAAGGCATGGAGTGGGCGGAGGTGTGTGCTGAAAACTGCCGGTGGGAGAGTGAAACATGAGCAGACGGTGTTGCAATTTGGTGGCAAGGTGCCTGTCCACAGGGGTGGTGTTAGGACAGGTACTGGCTTCCTGCCTCAGCTGCTCTTGTCACAGGCTTCCATGATAACGTCAGGTGTGTCAGGCCTCCGGGCAGGCCTGACTTCTCTACCCTCCTTTCACTTGCCCTAAGGCAGGTCACTAACCTTCCCAACTTTCTAATTATGCAACCCAAGCGGACTGGGTTCAAGGAGCTTCCAGAAAGCTGAACGTGGAGGGTTCCCGAGGTTCGCACCCCGGGAGCCACAGCAGCTCTATGCTCCTTCCCCGTACGTATCTTGCCTTGGGTCTCTTGATCTGAATCTTTTACACCATCCCTTATAGAAAATCCTTTACAGAGGTTCTGAAGAATACAGGAAACATGAAAATACACATGGAAAGTGTTTCCCTAAGTTCCGTGAGTCACTCCACCAAATTAATAGAACCTAAAGGGGGAGAGGTGTCACACCTCATGTACCCCATAAATACATATACCTACTATGTACCCACAAAAATTTAAAATTAAAACAATTTAAAAACAAAGAGGGGGCTGGGCACAGTGGCCCACACCTACAATCGCAGCACTTTTTGAGGCCGGCAGACCACTTGAGGCCAGGAGTTTGAGAGCAGCCTGGCCAACACGGTGAAACCCCTCTCTACTAAAAATACAGACGCTAGCCGGGTGTGGTGGTGCGTGTCTGTAGTCCCAGCTACTCAGGTGGCTGAGGCAGGAGAATCACTTGAACTCGGGGAGGCGGAGGTTGCAGTGAGCAGAGATCGTGCCACTGCACTCCAGCCCGGGCAACAGAGTGAGACTCTGTCTCAAAAAATAAAAACAAAGAGGGGGTGGTGGGACCCTAACTTGAAGCCAGTCCATCAGAAGCTCCGAGCGGTCTGGACCTGAGACTGGTGGGGGGCATCTTGGGGATGGAGCCCTCACCCTGTGGGATCTGACACTATCTCCAGGTAGATGGTGTCAGAACTGGGTTAGAGGACACCCAGCGGGTGTCTGCTGTGTGGTCTTCTGTGCTGATGACTGTTGTGGTGGAGGGTAGAGGAAGCATACAGGTAGAGCGAGGTTTTCCTAGGCAATAGATTCTACTGATTTTTTTTCTCTATCAAACAGAAAGCAAGCCCTACAAATATTTTTCAACCAACCTATACAGTGAAAAGAATTTGGACATGGCCAAGCACAGTGGCTCATGCCTGTAATCCCAGCACTTTAGGAGGCTGAGGTGGGAGGTTCGTTTGAGCCCAGGAATTTGAGACCAGCCTGGGCAACAAAGTGAGACCCTGGATCTACAAAAAATAGTCAGGTGTGGTGGCACATGCCTGTGGTCCCAGCTACTTGGGAGGCTGAGGCAGGAAGATCGCCCATGCCCAGAAAATCGAGGCTGCACTGAGCCATCGTCGCACCACTGCACTCCAGCCTAGGTGACGGAGCAAGAGAAAATAGAAAGGACTGGACAGGTCCCCATTACCTGCCTGCGCTCCCGGCGGGTCAGGGTGTGACCGTTGAGGATGCGCCAGAGCATGCGTGCCGCAATCTTGGTGTCGATCCACAGCAGGCGGAAGCCATGGTAGTAGTGCTTCAGCTCGTCCAGCACCCTCTGCCCGAGGGGCCTCTTCACCGCCACCTCTGCGGGGGGGCTGTACACAGGGCCGCCTTCCTCCAGCTTCTTGTGCTTGTCCTTCAAGGACTTGAGGGACTTCTCTACTAACGAGTCATCGCTGACAGGACGCGAAGAGTGCCAGCCGCGCACAGGAAGGCACTGAGGTCCCACAACCACAAAACCCACAGAGGTGGAGGTCCATGGCGCTCTCGACACTGTGCGAAGACACTCGGGCCTCACAGTCCGACAGCCGAGGTGATCGCCTTTGAAGTATGGGTACGCGGGGTGGATGGGAGCACAGCAGCTCAAGGGAACGGTCCTTGGAAGGGAAGAGTGAAAACAGTAGTTGAGAGCCAGTACCAGCCTTTGACAGCTCAGCACCAAACACCGACAGCAGCAAAACTCACATGCCTTGTACCACATCATGCCACAACCACACACAATCCCACCTACACCCTGATGTCTGCACTGCCCCCCGGGGAGCCCTTCAGAAGGGAGACCAGGACAGTGCGCAGCCCCTCAGCCCCACGCCATCGGACAGCAGCATGGGTTCGCCGGCCCCCACCACAGGAAGGGCAGGTCAGACACAGGCACAATCAGCAAAGGCTGGATCCCTAGGTGGGCCTCACAGCCCCACACCCAGTGACTTGGAGAGGTAGGCTTGAAATCTTCCCTCAATTACAGACAGGCAAACCCAACACTGACCTCACGGAGAGGTTCTGAAGAATACAGGAAACACACATGGAAAGTGCCTGGTGGACACCAGTGAGGCCTGGGAGGGATGGGGCGGAGGGCAGGCACCCCGCCCCTGGTCCCCTCCCCAGCCCCGCGAGGGCAGCTTCAGGCTCTCTCTCAGGCCCTGGCCTGGCCCCATCCACCATGTCTCCAGGTTCTCCTCAGCTCTGGGGTCACCTCTGAGCCAGGAAAAGGCTCCAAATCCAGGCAGCCCTGAGTCATGGCATGCCGAGAGCCGGGCCACACAGAATGCAGCAGAGCCCACGCAGGCTCAGCCTGCCCCCGACCAGGCTGCGTTTCTTCTGTGAGGTGGCCTCACCTTCCAGTGTGGGTGACGACAGAGCCCATGCACTGAACACACCTCCTCCCTGCATCAAGCTGAATTACACAGCTTTCCAACCCTCGGTTAGCAAGGAAGATGGTGGCTTCCGCAAGAAGGCATGGCACCAGCAGTCACAGGGCATCTATCGACAGGCAGACGAAGACTCGGAAAACCAGACCAGAGAACCACAGGGCGGACTCCACGAGGGCAGGGAGCCATGTAGAGCTGGGCGTGCCCGCAGGGGACCTGGTCCTCACCATAGTAACATCCCCCAGCAAATCCCAGCCACACACACAGACACACACACACACACACACACACACACACACACACACACACACAGACACACACACACACACACAGACACACACACACACAGACACACACACACACACACACAGACACACACACACACACACACAGACACACACACACACACAGACACACACACACACACACACACACACACACAGACACACACACACAAGCAAGGTGTGGTGGGCCTGGTCCTCACCACAGTAACCTCCCCCAGCAAATCCCAGCAGCTGGTGGTACAGGCCTGCAGTCCCAGATACTCAGGAGGCCAAGGTGGGAGAATGGCTTGAGCCTGGGAGATCCAAGCTGCAGTGAGCCATGACTGCACCACTGCACTCTAGCCTGGGCAACGGAATGAGACCCTGTCTCAATAAATAAGTAAATAAATGGAATATTCCCAAGTGGCTTGATGGGTTTAATGACATTTCAGTTACAATCCCAAAAAGACTGTTTTAGAACAAAAACGTCTAAACAAGAAATGAAAGGAATTGAGGAGGAGGATAGACAAGACATCAAAGGAAGGTCCAGAGAGATGAGGTTCGGGGGAACTGGTCCCCTGGGAGGAACACCAGCTGGAGAGCTCGCTGAAGAAAACGGCGGCGGCGGCAGCCGGGCACGGCGGCTCACACATGCAATCCCAGCACTTTGGGAGGCAGAGGCAGGTGGATCATGAGGTCAGGAGTTTGAGACCAGCCTTACCAACATGGTGAGGTCTCTGCGAAAAATACAAAAATTAGTGTAGTCCCAGCTACTCAGGAGGCTGAGGCAGGAGAACTTGCTTGAACCTGGAAGTGGAGGTTGTGGTGAGCCGAGATCATGCCACTGCACTTCAGCCTGGGCAACAGGGTGAGACTCTGTTTCAGGAAAAAAAAAAGAAAAGAAGAAAAAAGAAGAGGGCAGAGGTGGGCAGATCACCTGAGGTTGGGAGTTTGAGACCAGCCCGATCAACATGGTGAAACACCAGTCTCTACTAAAAATACAGAATTAAAGCCGGACGCGGTGGCTCAAGCCTGTAATCCCAGCACTTTGGGAGGCCAAGGCGGGTGGATCACGAGGTCAAGAGATCGAGACCATCCTGGTCAACATGGTGAAACCCCGTCTCTACTAAAAATACAAAACATTAGCTGGGCATGGTGGCGCGTGCCTGTAATCCCAGCTACTCAGGAGGCTGAGGCAGGAGAATTGCCTGAACCCAGGAGGCGGAGGCTGCGGTGAGCCGAGGTCGCGCCATTGCACTCCAGCCTGGGTAACAAGAGCGAAACTCCGCCTCAAAAAAAAAAAAAAAAAAAAATTACAGAATTAGCCGGGCATGGTGGCACATTCCTGGAATCTCAGCTACTTGGGAGGCTGAGGTGGGAGAATCGCTTGAACCTGGAAGGCAGACTGCAGTGAGCTGAGATCACATCATTGCACTGTGGCCTGGGAAACAAGAGTGAGACTCCGTCTCAAAAAAATTAAATTTATAAAAAGAAGAAAGAGAAATCTGATGGGAAGCTAAGGCGGATGCCATGGCAGCGGCGAGGCTGAGGGAAGGCCTGGTGAGAGTGCACACACAGAGACGGGGCCACGCTGGCCAACGGCGGCTTTGTCAGTGCCCGCAGCAAGCGCCGCGCATGTGCCCAGGGACTCCAGCCACCGCAACACTCCCTCGTGGCTCTGCTGCCTATGGCAGTACTCTCCAAATCCATACAGCTGAAGGTACGTTTTTAAGGAAGGCCATGTTTTCACATGCGACTTGTTTTTACTTTAGGGAATTAAATCTCAGGAACCACCAGACAGAGAAGGTTCACAGCTGAGATGAGATACATCAGCAGCCTTAAGTGAGCAGCCAGAAGGACAGGGCTTGGAGTAGGAGGAGGGTGTTTCAGTCCTGCTCTCCCACACAGGAAGCAGGAAAGTCGGGACAGGAGATGAGCACTACTGTGGCTTTCTGAACTTGAGATCCCAGGAGAGAATGAGAATCTCTCCTCACACAGGCGAGACTGAAGTGAGGGGGATGCCAGGTAGAGGGACAGCACGCAAGGGACAGCTTGGCAGCCTCAAACCAAGCTCAGGACAGGGGATGCAGGTGCTACTCCCTCTAGGAAGCCCTCTTGGCCTGGCCGGCCAGCCTGGTGGCACCAGAGTCTCTATGCTGCACTGTTATCACGTGCTGATATTACTTGCCATCTTGCTAGACTGTGATTGCCACAGGGAAGGGCTAAGCCAGAGCCGGGCACGGGAATGCCACACCTACACCCCCCCGTGGTTGCAGGTACCTGCAGAGTCTGCTCTGTGTTCACAGATGGATCCCCACACCCACAACACTGCCTGGCGCATCCAAAACACCTTTTACAAATGTTATTTTTAGCCACGAAAAAAAAAAAAAACAAAAAAACACAACTGTATGTGCTGGCTGAGCGCAGTGGCTCCCGCCTGTAATACCAACACTTTGAGAGGCCAGTTTGAGACCAGCCTGGGCAACACAGTGAGATCCTTTCTCTAAAAAAAATTTAAAAGTTAGCCAGGCAGGGTGGCACATGTCTGTGGTCCCAGTTACCCAGGAGACTGAGGTGGGAGCATTCCTTGAGCTTGGGAGTGTGGATGCAATGAGCTATGATAGTGCCCTGAGCTCCAGCCTGGGCGACAGAGCAGGAACCTGTCTTCAAAAAAAGAAAAAAAAGAAAACTGTATGTGTTAAAAACAAGATACATTCCTTAAAGTTCAGAATAAAATACAGTGAAGTACTCACTTAACATTGTCCATAGGTTCTTAGAAAATGCAACTTGAAGCAAAAAGACCTATAAGAAAACCAATTTTTTTCTCATCTAAAGTTATAATAAAACATTATTCAAGGACCTTAAAGTTGCTGTTTCTGCTGGGCACAGTGGCTCACACTTATAATTCCAGCACTTTGGGAGGCCGAGCCAGAAGGATCACAGGAGGTCAGGAGTTCAAGAACAGCCCGGCCAACATGGTAAAACCCTGTCTCTGCTTAAAATTCCAAAATTAGCCAGGCAGAGTGGAGCATGCCTATAACTCCAGCTACTCCAGAGGCTGATTGAGGCAGGTTGCAATGAGCCAAGATTGCACCACTGCACTCCAGCCTAGACAACAGAGCTAGACTCTGTCTCAAAAAATAAATAAATAAATAAAAGTTGCAGTCTCCAAGAACTACAGACATTAAATGAGACTTACTGTACACCAAACTACTGACAACATCTGCAACTGGGCCCTGAGATTAGGAATGTTTATTCACTTCCGAAATTCACTGAGGCATATGACAATCATTTTCAACATGGAAAGATAAAGATTTAAAAGAAACAAAGAACAGGAAAATAGGATACACTGTTTCCCTCAAAAATCAAGTCACTCCTGACTCTCTACTATTTCCAAGCCCTGTTTTCAGACAGGTGCAGAATGACGCTGATTTACTCACAGGCAGCTCCGCAACCCCAGGGTGCTGGCACAGCTGAGATGAGCAGGATCCCCTGGACTACCTGGAACAGGAACAGGGGAAAATAAACACGTAGTAAATCAGGGATTTATACCAATGTCTTTTTTTTTCTTCTTTTTTTCTTTTTTTTTTTTTGAGGCAGAGTTTCTCTCTTGAGCCCAGGCTAGAGTGCAATGGCAAGATCTCAGTTTACTGCAACCTCCTGGGTTTAAGCCATTCTCCTGCCTCAGCCTCCTGAGTAGCTGGAATTATAGGCGCCCACCACCATGCCCAGCTACTGTGTGTGCGTGTGTGTGTGTGTGTGTGTGTGTGTGTGTGTGTTAGTAGAAATGGGGTTTCACCATGTTGGCCAGGCTGCTCTCAAACTGTTGACCTCAGGTGATCCGCCTGCCTTGGCCTCCAAAAGTGCTGGGATTACAGGCATGCACCACCATCTCCAGCCTTTTATTCGTTTTTATTTATTTATTTGACTTTGCCCCGGCTGGAATGCAGTGGTATGATCACGGCTCACTCACTGCAGCCTTGAACGCCTGGGCTCAAAGGATCCTTTTGCCTCAGCCTCTCAAATAGCTGGGACTACAGGCGAGCACCATCGTGCCCGGCTAATTTCTGTGAGGGGTTTCGCTTTGTTGCCTAGGGTGGTCTCCAACTTTTGGCCTCAAGCAACCCTGCTGCCTCGGTCTTCCAAAGTGCTGGGATTACAGGCATGAGCTACCACACCCAGCACAGTATCTTCTTTTAAAGTCTGAAAGAAGGCCAGGCACGGTGGCTCATGCCTGTAATCCCAGCACTTTGGGATGCCTAGGCAGGTGGATCACCTGAGGTCAGGAGTTCAAGACCAGCTTGACTAATATGGTGAAACCCTGTCTCTACTAAAAATACACAACTAGTCGGGCGTGGTGGCGCATGCTTGTAATCCCAACTACGTGGGAGGCTGAGGCAGGAGAATTGCTTGAACCCGGGAGGCAAAGGTTGCAATGAGCCAAGATCGCACCATTGCACTCTAGCCCAGGCAACAAGAGCGAAACTCACTGCCTCAAAAAAAAAAAAAAAAAAAAAAGTCTGAAAGAGTACAGATCTCTTTTGTAGAAACTTCCGTGTGGGGCCAGGCGCAGTGGCTCAAGCCTGTAATCCCCCAGCACTTTGGAAGTCCGAGGTGGGTAGATCATGAGGTCAAGAGATCAAGACCATCCTGGTCAACATGGTGAAACCCTGTCTCTACTAAAAATACAAAAAATTAGCTGGGCATGGTGGCATGTGCCTGTAATCCCAGCTACTCGGGAGGCTGAAGCAGGAGAAGCCTGAACCCAGGAGGCGGAGGTTGCGGTGAGCCGAGATTGCGCCATTGCACTCCAGCCTGGGTAACAAGAGCGAAACTCCGTCTCAAAAAAAGAAAGAAACCTCTGTGTGTAAGTTTCTGGAAGCCAGTTCTGAGTGTTGGAAGGTTTCAGAACACTGCTAAGTGAAGGGCCTGCCCCAGTTAGGAAAACAGTATCGCAAAGTAGTCCTAAAGAAGGATGGGGAGCCTCAAGTAAACCCTGGCTCCAAACACCCCAAGAGGGAAGCCAAGTAGGCCAGCCCCAGGGAGGGAGCATCCTACCGGGTGGCACCATCCCCACTCACTGCAGTTGGCTCTGGTGGACACATGACCTCTATGCAGACAGCCCTATAGAGCAAGCAACGATCCCAAGGGGCAAGAGCTGTAAGAATTACTAGAACCATAAGCCGGGCGTGGTGGCTCATGCCTGTAATCCCAGCACTTTGGGAGGCTGAGGTGGGTGGATCACCTGAGGTCAGGAGTTCAAGACCAGCCTGGCCAACATGGCGAAACCCCGTCTCTACTAAAAATACAAAAATTAGCTGGGCCTGGTGGTACGTGCCTGTAATTCCAGCTACTCGAGAGTCTGAGGGAAAAGAATTGCTTGAACTCAGCAGGTGGAGGTCATAGTAAGCTGAGATCACACTATAGCACTCAAAAAAAAAAAAAAAAAAAAAAAAAGCTAGTGGAATAAGCCATTTCTTGTATAAACAATAGTGAGGAATATATAGCACATTTTAAGGATTTTAACATCTTTTTTGATGCTTTCCCTAACTTACTTTAGTTCCTATAAGCATAGAGTTCACTTATACTACTGACATTCAGGGCCCATTGTGGAAACCTCATACTGGGAACAAGACAGGTATAGGAGTAGCAGGGCCAGAGGTGCCAGGTCAAGCAGTGCCAGGAGCCAGCAGGTGGCACCCTGAAGTGCCCAGTGGCCTTGACCCTCCAGGCAGTGGGGTGGCAATGAGTCCTCAGCCAGGTAGCTGCAGGAGCAGCTGTAAGCTGTGGGGAGCTCACTCTGGCCAGCTACGAGAGCCACCCTGTGAACAGGAACAAGATGGGAGGGCAAGCACCTCACTAAATAGGAGGCAACTCTCATACTCCCATGGGGAAGGAAATTCCCAGCATGCGCCACATTTAGGGCTTGTAACAGTCTGGTCTGTAAATTGGGAGCTCAGTTAAGGGGAGATGTTAGCTATGTTCTCATCCATTTAACAGCACAGTGCGACTGAGCACACCAAGACCCTTCTCACTCCAGCTGAGGACCAGCTCTGGCCCCTACCTTTCTCCACATGAAGAGGGCACAGCACATTCTCCGCTATCTTCCCCACACCATGGCACCTTCAGCCCCCCACCCCTGCCCTGGCCAACTCCTGTACCTCAAGGGCTCAGCCCAGCAAGTAGACAGGCTGGCAGGTCTCCCAGGGCTCCCTGATCTGCCCCCCGGTGACCCCACTTTCTAACACTTCCTGTCCCACTGGCTCCCTTCCTAGGCTCTTCCCAACACCTGTTCTGAAGGCTTCTGTCCCCAGCTCTCCAAGGAACCCACAGTCAAGGCCGTCCAGGGTGATGGGGATCACTGCCCCATGTCCCTCAGGAGCACAGACATGACCTGTGGCCAGGCCCTGCTGGGAGCCCTTCTGTTCTTTTTTCCAACACCAACAATTCTTCAACTGGGAGTCCACCAATTTAATTCCACACTGACACTACCCAGAATTAGGGCAGACCCCACAGGGTAAGGGCTCAGTCTCACAAAACTGCCCCCACTCCATGTGCCCAAGCTACCCACACTTCAGCTGCCTACAAAGTGGGGGGTTCCCATGACCACTTTGGTTTTGAAAATTCACTAGAATGGCTCAGATGTCAGCAATGGGTTCTACTTACTATCACAATTCATTATAAAGGGTATCCAGGAACAACCAGAGAGAGAGGCCAAAACACCAAGGCCAGGGAGGTCCTAAGCACAGGATCATCGGGTGCTGTGGAGCGGGTACATACCAGTGGGAAGCCTCACCAGCCTGCTCACCCAGAAGTTTTCATCAAGGCTTCATGACTGATGACAGTACTGGCCCACTGGCCATGGGGACTGAACTAACTCGTCAAATCCTCTCCCCTCCCTGGAATCACCCTCTAATTACAGCACGCTCAGTGCCACCTGAATCTAAGGGCCTGTCTGGAGTCACTGCATTAGCATAAACTCAGCTGCAGTGATAATGAATAAAAGAAACTCCCAAGCTCATGCCTGTAATCCTAGCACTTTGGGAGGCCAAGGTGGGGGAGGATTGTTGTTGAGCTCAGGAGTTCAGCCTGGGCAACATACAGAGACCCTATCTCTATAAAAAAATAAAAAATCGGCCGGCAGGAGGATTGCTTAGAGGCTGCAGTGAGCCATGATCAAGCTACTGTACTCCAGCCTGGGCAAGAGAGCAAGATCCTGCCTCAAAAAACAAATAAAAAAAAGACACTCCCATCATTCAGGAAAGTTCCAGGGTTTTCAGCCCTCAGTGCTGATGCCAGGATCAGGTCAAAGACTAAATGTATTTCTTACCATTACATACCTTTCTTCCCCTGGCTTCCAGGATCCCCTGGCCACTCCTGGGAGATCCTCCCTCCCTGGCCTCCACCTCCTCCCCAGGCGCCCACCAGGTCTGACGGACTCCAAGAACTCTCAGACCGCGTCCCCACTCTGCTCTTCCCCAAGTCTTCTCCATGTTCAACAAACGGCTCTGCTGTCCCCAGGCGGCTCAGGCCAGACCTCTCCCACACAGCCCTTAGAGTCAACCCTGCTTCTACTCATATATCGACTTCCTTCCGAAGAGGACGCTATGGAGAGGTGGAGAAGCGTAACTGGGTAGTGGAAAACCTGACCAACACCACCTCAACCTACTCATCAAAGTCGACATCCACAGTGACAAATCATTCTGACAGCATGGAGCCTTGATGTGACGTGACGAGAACGCTCCACCTCTGTGGTCTTCCTCCCGAAAAATCATCTGTCCCAGCTTAATTATGAGAAAACATCAAGAAATACCAGTAGAGCAGCGCCTTACACCCCATCTGAGCTGTCCTCCTCAAAGCTGGCAAGGTCACTGCGGACAAGGAAAGCCTGAGACAATCAAGAAGGGTGGTGCAGATGGGTCCCAGGACAGAAAAGGCCCTCAGAATGAAGAGTGGGAGAGAAAAGAAAAGCTGAGTACGTTATGGACTTCAGTGAACAGCAACAGGTCCATGCGCTGTGACAGTGAACCTTACTCATGTCAGATGCTAAGAGCGGGGGCCTGCAGCCTCCACCTGGTGTACCACCCACAGGGGTCAGGAATCTCCTCCACAGTCCAGCCCTGCATCTCACTGGCTCTGAAATCCCTGTTCCTACAGCACATCTGCTGTCTAACCCATTATCAGCCCTTAAGAGTCCCTGTCACAAAGCGCAGCGACAACTATGGAAGACCTTTGTGTTCCTGAAATGACACAACGACACTTAAAGAGCTACTTATTACCATTTTTTGCCAAAAACCTGTGACATAAGCACGAAGTGGCAAAAGTACTTTTATCACCATCAGGAGGTCCAGAGAGAACTCTAACATTTAACACAGCAACTAGGAAGATCAAATGCCGAGCTTCACCTTCAGACTGTGCGTGACCACCACTCAGCGCCCTCCCCCCACTCCAAAACTCTCAGTGGCTGACCAGCCATTACTGTGAAAAATTACAAGAAATGGGGGCTGTGCACGGTGGCTCACGCCTGTAATTCCAGCACTCTGGACGGCCCAGGTGGGTGGATTACTTGAGATCAGGAGTTTGAGACCATCCTGGCCAACACGGAGAAATCTCCATCTCTACTGAAAATGCAAAAATTAGCTGGTCATGGTGGCGGGTGCCTGTAATCCCAGCTACTTGGGAGGCAGAGGAATCTCTGGAACCTGGGAGACTGAGGTTGCAGTGAGCCAAGACCACATCACTGCACTCCAGCCTAAGCAACAGGTAGGAGACTTTGTCTCCAAAAAAAATTAAAAAATAAAAATAACACAAAAGAATTGGGAGGATACAGGCAACTTCAATCTATGTCTCTGGGGGAAGGAGGAACAGACAAGAGTTGAAGCTGGTGGCTCCTGTAATCCCAGCACTTTGGGAGATCAAAGCAGGAGGATCACTTGAGTCGAGGAGTTCAAGAGCAGGCTGGCCAACATATCAAGACTCTGTCTCTACAAAAAAAATTACCAAAAAAAAAAAAAAAATTAGGTGGGTGTCGTGTGACACAACTAGCAACTTGGGAGGCTGAGGCAGAAGGAGTTTGAGGGGTCGCGAGTATGACTGCACCGCTGCACTCAATTATTTCACGTGAGCCTCTCTCAGCAAGTTTTATGGGTATGCCCATTTTACAGATAAGGACATAAACGGAGATAAACTGGGTAATTAGAGAAAGAGGGAGGAGTTGGGCACGCCCTGGGAGAGCCTTCGCTCCAGGCAGCTCCTTAGGCGAGGGTGGCTGAGGCCACGCACCCGAGGACCCTCCCCGGACCCGGAGTCCGCGCGTCCCCCGACTGCAGGTCGCGGCTTCATCGCACCGCAGGGGCTGGCACCGCCTCGTCGCTGACGGGCTGGGAGGGCTCCCGCGGCCCCCGAGGCCCTGCCCGCGGCCCCCGAGGCCCTGCCCGCGGCCCCCCAGGCCCTGCCCGCGGCCCACGCAAGGCTCGTCTCGGGGACCCCAGACGCGGCTAAAGGCTCGGCCGCCCCGGTGCGTGGACGGCGCGCCCCACCGGCCTCCTCCCGCAGGGTGCGCCAGGGCTGCCCGGCCGTCGGAACTTCCCCAAGCCCGCCGCGGAGGCGGCGACCCGCGGCGACCCGGCCGCCCGAGGTCAAAGCGCGAGGCAGAGGCCCAGCGGCCGCGCCCGCCACGGGACCGGGGGCCCCCGGGCCCCCCGCATCGCCGCGACCAGCAGCCCGACCCCGCCCCGGGGCGCCCGCCGCTTACCCCGCGGGGCGGTGGCCCGAGGCGACGGCCGGAGGCGGGCGGGCGCCCGGCCGCGGCAGCTCCTCAGTAAGATGGACGCCATGTGCCCGGGCGCGGCGGCCGCTCCCGCCTCCTGCGCTGCGTCCTCCTCCTTCTCCGCCGCGGCTGCCGCTCTTCGCCGAGCCGGCGGCGCCCCAGGCCCGGCCCGCGCGGACGGTTGACGGCGGCGGTTGACCCCGGCCTGCAGGCGCTCAGCTCAGAGACCCGGCACCGCCGGCGGCCTGGTCCCGGCACAGACGTCCCGGAGCGCGGGGCGGGGCGGCCAGGCCGCGGCTCCCATTGGGCCCCTCGGCGCCCGCGGCCGGCCAGGTGAGGGGCGGGCCGTGCCCCCGCGGACTACCGGTTCCGGCGTGCACCGGGGCGGCCTGCACTCTGCGGCGCGGACTACCGATACCGGCGTGCAGCGGGCCGGCCCGTACTCTGGCGCGGACTACCGATCCCGGCGTGCACCGGGGTGTCCCTCACCCTAAGGCGCGGGCTACCGGTCCCGGCGTGCACTGGGGCGGAGGGCTCCTCGGGGCGCGCTGCATCCTGGGACCAGTCGTTCGGTAGATGCCGGGTCTCGCAGCGTGGCGGCCGCAGGAGCCGAGGGAGCCGGCTGGGCTCGCGCGGTGATTGTCTTTTCGTCTCCGAGCCGTAGCAGCAGCCGCTGTGTCCGGAACTTTTCTGGGACCAAGTCCTGCCCCCACGAGTAGAAAACGGCTCCTGGGAGCTTGGGGCTCCAAGGGCAAGTCGGGGGCCGCTGCGATGGAGGGTCGCACTCGGCCGTGGTCTCGCGCCGGCCGCCTCCTGCTCTGTGGCTCTGCCTTCTGTGGCTGCACCCTGACACGCGCAGCCCTGATGCCCCTTCCCACGGTACCACGCGGCGCTCCCCAGACACCGCGCTGCTCCGCGTCGGGGGTCCCGACCCCCACTGAGGGGACGGGAGCGCAGGATCCCGTCCCGAAGGACAGAGCCGTGCCGGCGCCTGGATGCGGGGGCAGTAGTCTGTGTGGCGGCGCAGCAGGCACAGCACGCCCCCACCGCACGAATACCGCGTCCTCCGGTCTGAGCGGGAGGGCCGGATGTGGTCCTGCGTGGGCGCAGGGGGACCCCTCGCTTCGCTCTGGCCTCGGCAGCCCCTGGGGTCCCGGGCGTCGCAAGGGCGCCAGGCTTCCTACCCTGGGCCATACCCTGTCCGCTCCACCTCCCAGTCCAAGAAGGAACAGCCGAAGTCCAGGACGCCAAGGATTTGGCTCGGAGTCTCCAACCCCGCCAGAGCTGGGCTGGACCCGAGGACCGCTCCTGCGCCATCTCCCAAAAGCCTCCCCCTAGCCCAACTTAATAGCCAGCCCTGACCAGTCCTGGGGAGAGAGACCGTGCAGCCTCCTAGCAGACCGTGACCTTTGAGCTCCACCTTCCCCTTCATTCCTTCAGAGGAGGATCCCTGAGTTTCGGTAGAGAAGACAGGCAGGGAGAAACATGGACACCCGCAGCGCTGGGGGCCCAGCTGGTCGAGATCTTCAGCTAGGAGATCCCCAGCTGGGAGATCCCCAGCACGGCACTTGCCCTGCCCTCTGTCTCGTTCAGGGATGTAACCTCAGGGCACCTCCTGGGGAGGGTCTTGGACTGCACACTCAGCGTCTCTGTTCCCTGGAGCGCAGGAGTGTGGAACTCCTGATACCAGCCAGCACCCCAGTCTTGAGAGTCTGGTTGAATGGCACGTCTCCCTAGGAGGCTCCCTCCCCAACTCTGCTGCTACTGCCCGTGCACTCAGCCCTCACCTGCCTGCCAAGTACTGGGTCCGGATGAGCTTGGATTCCCCATCACAGGCGGGAGAAGGGGACGTTGTTTAGTGGAGGGTATTTTGAAGCTGTCTTCCAGTCCCTGTAGCCACACTGGTCAGTAGGCACTGTAGACATAAAATGCAGAATGAGCTGAAGCACATCTAGGCCTCAACCTAGGCCTCTGCTGCCAACAAACGTGAAGGGGCAAAAGGGTGATGTCCCCACCCACGGTTGGGCCTGAGCTGGAGTGGACAGTTGGTTAGGGTCGTAAAGTACTAGTTTTTTTTTTTTTGTTTTGTTTTGTTTTCCTGAGACGGAGTCTTGCTCTGTCCCCCTGGCTGGAGTGCAGTGGCGCCATCTCAGCTCACTGCAACCTCCGCCTCCCTGGTTCAAGTGATTCTCCTGCCTCAGCCTCCTGAGTAACTAGAATTACAGGTGCGCGCCACCACGCACAGCTAAGAACTGGGGCTTCTTATGCCCCAGCTGTAGGACAGTGTCCTAGTTCTGGTCTGGACATTGGCCCTGAGCACCAGATGACCCCGCCTTATGCCATCTGGGGGTAGGGAGGGGAGACACCGGGGAGGGGGCAAGAAACAGTGCTCCTCCCCATTGATGCTGTGGGGTCCCAGGTGTCTGGACAAGGCCAAGCAGGAGGTGATGACTGCCCCATCCATGCGAGTGCCTGTTGACAGGACTTTGAAGGACACTGGACAGAGGGAAGCCCTCTCCACAGCCTCCACGCTGCCCAAAGTGCCAGGTGTGAAGAAATGCAGAACACACCACTCACCTGCAGCTGGGATGCCCCACCATCCGAGGACCAGCACAAGTAAAGGCTGGCAGCGGAGAGCCAACAGCAGGACCGACCTGGGCAGGTGGTGTCTGTGATGCTCCTGCAGCCCAGGCAGGGTGGGATATTAGATGAATTCTTTTTCAACAGTCAGAATAGCTGTAGTCAGGTTCAGTGACTCACACCTGTAATCCCAGCACTTTGGGAGGCCGTGCAGGCCGGCTTGGTGGCCCATGCCTGTAATCCCAGCACTTTGGGAGGCCGAGACAGGCAAATTGCCCAAGCTCAGAAGTTTGAGACCAGTCTGGGCAACACAGTGAAACCCCATCTCTACTAAAATACCAAAAGTTAGCTGGCTTTGGTGGCATGCCTGTAGTCCCAGCTACTTGGGAGGCTGAAGTAGGAGAATTGCTTGAACCCGGGAGGCAGAGGTTGCAATGAGCCAAGATTGCGCCACTTCACTCCTGCCTGGGTGACCCGGCAAGACTCTTGTCTTCAAAAAAAAAAAAAAAAAAAGAGCACGTGCTCGGCAGTCAACACTCAGTTACACGTGTTCAGCAGCACACTGTCCGAGTTAGGGATCTGGTTAGAGAGGAGGTTAGGGATCTGGTTAGAGGAGGTTAGGGATCTGGTTAGAGGAGGTTAGGGATCTGGTTAGAGAGGAGGCTAGGGATCTGGTTAGAGGAGGTTAGGGATCTGGTTAGAGGAGGTTAGGGATCTGGTTAGAGAGGAGGTTAGGGATCTGGTTAGAGGAGGTTAGGGATCTGGTTAGAGAGGAGGTTAGGGATCTGGTTAGAGGAGGTTAGGGATCTGGTTAGGGAGGAGGTTAGGGATCTGGTTAGGGAGGAGGTTAGGCATCTGGTTAGAGGAGGTTAGGGATCTGGTTAGAGGAGGTTAGGGATCTGCTTAGGGAGGAGGTTAGGGATCTGGTTAGGGAGGAGGTTAGGGATCTGGTTAGGGAGGAGGTTAGGCATCTGGTTAGAGGAGGTTAGGGATCTGGTCAGAGAGGAGGTTAGGGATCTGGTTAGGGACGAGGGTAGGGAGGAGGTTAGGGATCTGTCCTCCTTCCTCACTATTGCATTTGTTTTAAAAAAAAAAAAAAAAGCCGGGCGCGGTGGCTCAAGCCTGTAATCCCAGCACTTTGGGAGGCCGAGGCGGGTGGATCATGAGGTCGAGAGATCGAGACCATCCTGGTCAACATGGTGAAACCCCATCTCTACTAAAAATACAAAAAATTAGCTGGGCATGGTGGCACGTGCCTGTAATCCCAGCTACTCAGGAGGCTGAGGCAGGAGAATTGCCTGAACCCAGGAGGCGGAGGTTGCGGTGAGCCGAGATCGCGCCATTGCACTCCAGCCTGGGCAACAAGAGCGAAACTCCGTCTCAAAAAAAAAAAAAAAAAAAAAAAAAAAAAAACGGCCAGGTGCGGTGGCTCACGCCTGTAATGCCCACACTTTGGGAGGCCGAGGCAGGTGGCTCACCTGAGGTCAGGAGTTGGAGACCAGTCTGGCTGATGTGGTGAATCCCCGTCTCCATTAAAAATACAAAAAATTACTCAGGCGTGGTGGCACATGCCTGTATTCCTAGCCACTGGGGAGGCTGAGGCAGGAGAATAACTTCAACCCAGCAGGTGGAGGTTGCCATGAGCTGAGATTCGTGCCATTGCGCTCCAGCCTGGGCAACAAGAGTGAAACTCCATCTCAAAAAAGAAAAGAAAAGAAAAGAGGCCACGCTGTGGCTCACGCCTGTAGTCCCAGCCCTTTGGGAGGCTGAGGCGGGCAGATCACCTAAGGTTGGGAGTTCAATACCAGCCTTAACAACATGGAGACACCCAATCTCTACTAAAAATACAAAAATTTAGCTGGGCATGGTGGCGCATGCCTGTAATCCCAGCTACTCAGGACCCTGAGGCAGGAGAACTGCTTGAGCCGGGCAGGTGGAGGTTGTGGTGGTGAGCCGAGATGGTGCCACTGCACTCCAACGTGGGCAACAACAGGGAAACTCTGTCTCAAAAAAAAACAAAAAAACACCTGCTCGGTGTAGTTATTTCAAGTTTATAAAAATAAGTCGAAAGAGGCTGGGTGCAGTGGCTTATGCTTGTAACCAATCCCAGCACTTTGGGACCCCGAGGTAGGCATCATGAGGTCAGGAGATCAAGACCATACTGGCCAACATGGTAAAACCCTGTCTCTACTAAAAGTACAAAAATTAGCTGTTTGTGGTGGCATTCACCTGTAATTCCAGCTACTCGGGAGGCTGAGGCAAGAGAATTGCTTGAACCCGGGAGGCAGAGGTTGCAGTGGGCCAAGATCCCACGATTGCACTCAAGCCTGGAGACAGAGCAAGACTCCATCTCAGAAAAAAAAAAAAGGGGGGGGGGGAGTCAAAAGAAACGAGTAGAAATCTGGCATCCAGCCAGCTCTGTGCACCCTTAAGGCTGGAATGAGGCCTGCCTTCCAGCCCTGCATCTCCATATGCAGCAGAACAAGTCCACAGAACCACGGTGCAGTGGTTTATTAAGTGATTTAACAGCATGTGCTGCACAGTTTTTACCCTTTTTCCTTCTCTTCTGTTTTTTTTTTTTTGGTTGGGGGAACTTCCTTTTACCTCTTATGCTCCTCACAAATCACATATAACCTTCCATAGCCACTCGGTGATTAACAGAGTAGAGAAACAGGCAGGATGTCTAGGCAGCACACATGCCCCAGTTAGGGAGGTTAGGGATCCAGTTAGCAAACCCCAGGAAGACCTACAAGGGCTGTGTGCTATACTTGACCCATACTCTGGTG